CCTAAGATTCAGCCCCTATTCTTGGATAAGCAGAAAGCCTGGACCGATAGAGGCATTTTAGATTCCAGACAAAATCAGGGAATCAAATTGCTCCAAAGTATAATCAGTCACTGAGAAAGTAATGCAATGCAGAAAAGGCAAGATACTTATCTATCTATTAAATGACATGATTCACCACCCACATGGAGACAACACAATGCTTATCAACCTTCTTTGATGGTACTCTTGAAATGGCAGATCCATCTTCCTGTTTAGTTTACAGAACAGTATCTGTTAGATCCTGAACCATAGGAATGGAAAAAAAGGGGAGAGAAGGAGGAGGTTCTGGCATATCAACTAATTTTAAAATATCCGTGTGTTATTTTCCAGGCCCATATACTTCACGACTCCAAACCTTCTGAAAGGATAATTCTGCTGCTGCTATAACTTTGCCCCAACATACATACAAGCGTGGAACTCACACTGTTTCATGACTACAGAAAAGCCTCAGCATGCAATAACCTACGTCTTGCTGAACCCTCTCTTTAATTCATTTGCACAAAAGATTACTTAGGGCTCTTGTAAGTACATACGACCCACTCCCTTCAGCCCCAGCAAAGCTTTGTCTGAGATGCATCAAGTTTTCAGCTGAAGTCTTAGACATTTTAAGAGTGTGCTGCCATTTTGAGAAGCCATAACCAGGCTACTTGATTACAGTAATTTAATACATTTCAAATCCTACTCCACGCAAACTCTCCTAGCTTAGAAGTGATTTTGCGTTTTCATGTTCATGTTCTTGTTTATTTCTGCAGAACTCTGTCTTCTGTGCCCTCTTTGTACTTGAAGTTATGGACCTGATGAAGAAGTCATGTGGTGACATTCTCCAGCCTGTGCTGTGCCGGAGGTCACATCAGAGTAGATGAAGATAATAATCCCTCGTGGACTCTGTATCTGAGCATCTTCCCCAGAGACTCTTAAACAGGAAAAAAACATCCCAGTTGCTCAGGAATCTAAACAAGAGAGAATGACTCCCAGTTTAAGCCTGCAACGCGGAGGAGGATAGGCAACCGACTTTGTCGTGTTTAGGAAGCAGGGCCTAAAGGGAGCACAGCAGCAGAGCGCTGCTTTACTTGTCAACTCCTTCCTCTGACACTGCCCAAGCCCACATGGTGAAAGCAGACAACTACAGTTCAATAAAGGCTGAAGCTGCCTCAAGGAGTTACTGCTCCTTCAGCCTGCTTACCAAAGTGTACAGAGATAAAGTAGAAAAACACAGCTTGAGGCAACAGACTACAGAAGTCGTCCTTGTGACCCATGGAAATAAATCCCTTTAAAGGTGTTTAAATAGTGAGGTTCCTAGGTGCCTAGAAAAACACTTAGTATCATGGAAGGACAAAAGTTTATCCCAAAGCTAAACGAAACCCCAGCGTGCTATAAAAATCCATGCTGGGACCTACCACTGAGAGCTTCACCAGAGTGACCTGAACAGAGTGAAGTCTCCTCCGCCCTGCTCCTGAGTCAGGGTGTGTGGCTGGCTTCATACAGAGTGCGTTTCCAGAGCTGTCAGCTGCTTTAAATCCACTTAGAATGGACAAAGGAAACGAGGAATAATGGGAATAAGATCAGGGTCATCATCAGTAAAGTACCCCGTAGGCTGTGAGTCTGTTTCCCAAAGACAGTCCTTTAAACTTTGCTTCAAGCAGAAATGCTCCTCATATTCAGCACCTGTTTTCGTCACCTTCGCACAACTCTGAACAGCTCCTCGGCTCCTGTAGCAGCCCCCTTTTCTCCTGCCACGAGTTCAGTATTGGCAGGAGAGCGGCTGGAGGAAGAGGCCCTTCACCAGCACAACTGGAGAAAGCAAGAGAGGAGCCAGGGCGCAGGAAGCAGGCAGGTTGGTGAGCGGCCACAGCAGGAGGTTATGGTGCTGCTGTAAACACCGAGGGGCATTTGTGTTAAATACGGTATTCATAACTATTTATAACTCGACTGCATGTGGTTAGGAAAAAAAAAAAAAAAAAAGAAAGAAAAGAAACAAAGCAAAAGCACAACAAGCTGGGCTACCCCCATCCCTCTTTCAGCAGTTCGCCTGAGGTATGTCAAATAAAAGAGGGCGATTTTCATAGGATTAAGCTGAGAAAAATGTGTACTAGTTCCTATGGACAGCTCCTATAAATCACTCTAGATCCCAAACTTATCTGCTAATGGAAAGGCCAGCTGAAATCCCATCCAGTGGACATACACCTTTTCCAGAGGAATTCTCTGCAGGCCATATGCTGCAAAGATTTCAATGCAATAAATTAATCTGCTTAAGTTATAGCCAGATACTATGTTTTAATACTGACATACTGTTAGTAATGGCATACCTATGCCTGTTTTGTTTTGACTTTTGAGTATATCGCATTTCAAGCTCTATTCCAACTACTTTGAAGAAGGAACAATCTTAATTTTCACCGCCATTAATCTCTCTGAATGAAAGCAGAGGTCTGCATTAATGCTGAACGTAACAGCAACCCTATGGTTGCATTTAACCCAAGGCTGCTGCGGAACAGGCAGGAACAAATGGTGTCCAGCACCGTAACAAAGCTTCTCTCCCTGATCAATTGTGGAAAGCAGAGCACGTAACAATATATGTGCTGAGCTATTACATTTCATTCAGCTGCTTTATTCACGGTACGTGTATGGGCTGGTAGTACCTTTTCAATTTTACAGGTAGGAAATCTGAAAGATTCCTTTGAAAGAAAAGCAGCTTACCCTGGAATGGGTCCCAGGGTCCCCAATGACTTTTCCTACCGGTTGAGGCTACAGAGTATTGTTTTTCTTGGAGACATCCTGATCCAAATATCCCTTTGACTTTTTGTGTGCCTGCTTAGGGACTTGCTGGGAGCAGGAGTACGCAGAACTCCAGATTGAACATGGTGTGCATCTCCTCTCAGGCCTCCCAAGCAATCACGCCAACAGTTTCACACCACGAATGGGTGAATCAGGAAGATAATGAGAAATGAATGGGCAGGTGGTAACCATGGTATCTGCAATAAAAGCTCAGGAGGAGTGGAAAGTGGAATACAGATGCAAATGCTGCCTCATGGAATACTGATTCAAAGGTTTTATATAAAACATTTTTATGTGACTTTCCATTCACCTTCACTTCTAACACAACCATGGCACAATCCAACACTCCACATAGGCTCAAGCAGTCTCTTCCTCTTCCCTGAGGCCAATTTGGGGGGGAGGACAAAGACTTGTAACAGACATCAAGCATTCCTGTTTGTATCGGGGTCCAGCCCCATTGCAGAGACCACAACTCTGTTCCCTTCCTCAGTTTCATCAATCCACAACAGCAGTAGCTGCTGGGAAGAGAAAAATGGTAGAGGATATTTACTGATTCCTTCTTAAGCTTTCAAGAGATAAGAGATAAAAGTTTATCTAGATGTATCGTACTGAAAACATAAGTGGGAAAACACTGGACCTGAAAGCTTGTGCGCTGTATTTTTTTGTTGTTGTTGTTTCAGTATACCTGTGTGTTATTTGCTTACCATGCCCATGTTCAAGCCAGAGATATTTTCTGCATCTACAATCAGCAATAGCATAGACTGACCATGGAATACTCCAGGACCAAAACTTGGTATGACAAAAGCATGCGAAAAGACCAATGGAAGCAAAACCACTTAATTTCACTGCACCCTGACCTGCAGCCCCACCTTCAATTCCAAAATTCATTCATACCAAAGACACAAAAATAACAAATGCTTTAAGAAATCAAACTTATTTTTCCCTATACAAAATAATATGGTGCTGCTTCCTGTGAAATCTTGCTTCTTGCTAAATTGGCAAAGTATAGCTAATCAGGCATAGCTACATCCTTCCTTCTACCTACTAGTTTAGAAAAGAGAAGGGATAAGGTATGGGAAGCAAACCACAAGTCTGGCCAAGCAAGCAGCAGAATAAGGCCAAGAATAAGGCATTTCAAAGGTTAAGAAAGATTACCAATACATGCAACCTCTTGATGTATCATCTCCTAACAATTAGCCAGAGGCTGTAACCACATAAACTGTAAAATATTCTGCTGAACTAATTTTAACATATAATTATTCTTGTTTGTTACTGATCCAGGTATTTACATACCAGCTCACAATTCTGACAAATAGCTCCCAGTTTTTGCACTTGCAAAAAGTATATCAGGGCTCATAAAATAAAACTGCTAAAGTTTACATAATTACACTGACATTGCTAAGGCACAGCATCCTTTCTCATTACCTGCAGTCACATTAAAGATTTAGGATCTCTACACTACACAATGCACCCTTCTGCAAAGTCCTCCTCATCCAGAGCAAACTATTCAGGCAAAGAGACTTGAACCTACTTGCCTACTCTTCAGAAAAACTAACTATAGTATTAAAAGGAAAACTGTGCTGATCTTAACAGCTCCCTTCTCCAGGCTGTCTGCTGATACAGTTGGTAGGCTTTGCTATGGTTTATAGAAAATTACTGTTCTTAGAAACAGTAATTTGGAGAATAACTCACTTCCTAAATCAGCTTTTTTGGGTGTGAAGTCACAAGAGGGTGGGAGAGCAGAGTTCTCCCTGACTCTCCACTACCTTGTGCTGCACAACGCTGTACACGCTTCCAAGGGAAGATACCACTCTAATTAGGCTTTGCTTTCCATCCACGCTGCATCTGCTTAAGTGGACAGACAAAGCACAAAGCAATTCAAACTTGATTAGCTTTCAATACAGTAATAATGAAATGTAGTCCTTCTTTAACAATTGACCTGAGAAGCAGAAGCTTACTAGGGACAACAGGCTCAAACAAAAACCTTTTAGGCTACAAACCTCCCTGCTCCCCATACGTAGCAGCCATAATTAACACTTCATACATTTCAGACTATTCCTGCAAAACTCTCCTGCTCACACTTGCTCTTTTAAAGGCTTGGATTCTGCAGTCCCTAGAAGTGAGGTCAGGAAGGGAATGTGCTAAGTACACAGAATGAAACACAGTTTACGGTTCTTCCTTGCACTTACCTACACTTGTAGGAAATATATCCTCATTGTTGATTTGCACCTCGATCCAGTCCATGAGAAGATTCATATACTGTGGTGCTGGCAATGCTGTAGGCTTCTTGTACTTCATGTCATCCTGCCACCGGTACTCATACTTAGGGCCTCCAGACATCACGGGGCAGGTCCTCTCTGTGCAGAACTCACAGATAGTTCCATAAATGAGGTTGATCCTGTTGAAGAAGTCAACAACGTGGACAGCTACCCAGTCATTTTGGTCTTCTCCGCTGGGCAACTGCACAGCTGCTTTCAAGTCCACACCTGAGTTCAGAGAGGCTTGTGCTCGTTTATGAAGCTCAAACCTCTGGGTTCCAGGTTCAAACTTGCGTTTTGGACGGAAAGTCTTATCCTTATTAAAGACTTGTTTGAGTGCTATGGACATGTCTGGTAATCTCCTGCTCTGCAGCAGATGGCAGAAAAGCACTGTTGAGATTTAATGCAAGTAACTGAAAACAGTTGCTCCCTGTCACAGGTCTTCCAGGTTCTTTTCGTCACTGAAGTTTGTACCAACTTCAAAGCCGTCTACTAGCTCTTCCACTTGAAAGCCTTCCCGAAAGGCTTCATGTCCCTAAGGATATGGAAACAATATATGTTAATGGTAAGCTCAAGTCTGGACCCATCCGTTTGTTACTGTAGTAATTATGAGCTGAAAAGCAAATTTAGAATCCAAAACAAGCCAGCCTTAAAAACTAGCCAATCCCTAACCTAAGTTAAATGAAAAGCTTCATTTTATTCAAAGTATTAAGGAATTAACATCTCTGTCTTTTTAAAATATCTACACACACAAATGCTATTAAGTTATAAAGAGGGGAATTAAAAGTATCTTGTGTAATCTTACTATCTTTATGCCATTTTTAAACCAACCCTTCCATTTTGCTGTATTTTACAGTGATTGAACACCATACCTAATATATGTATAAAATTAGCAGACGAAATACCACGTGACTATTTAGAAGTCTTATCCAACTGTTTCTAAAGCGACAGATGGTACCTCTCAGCATTCACCATAGATTCAGTCCTCTTCCCCGTAGGAAAAAAAAAAAACAAACAATCCATGAGCAAGATTTCTCCATATTTGTTCTGTATTTTTAATTAATTGGCTATTTGTTCTGCAGACCTCACAGAATGCAGTTAGAGTGGAACCTACCTATGGTATTGCACAGAAATAATTACTACATTCCACAGACCGGTACAGAGGTTGTTATCATTCTTGACCCACCCTCAGGAATTCAGCAGCGGTGTTAATTTTCCACTGAACTGCGTAAAATGATTAAAAAGCAATGGTGAAGCTGTCACTTTATTTATAGCTCTATTCATCTTCTCCACAGGGAAATACTTGGCATAGTGGATCCATGACTCTATGCACAACACTGCCAGCAGGTCAAGGGAAGGGATTGTCCTGCTCAGCTCTGTGCTAGTGTGGCGTCACCTCAAGCACTGTGTGTGGTTTGGGGCAATACAATATAGGAAGGACGTAAAAGTGTTAGAGAGTGACCAAAGAAGGGCTATCAACATGGTTAAGGGTCTAGAGGTCAAGGTGTATGAGGAGCAGCTGAGGTCCCTCAGTTTGTTCATCCCAGAGCAGAGCAGGCTGAGGGGAGGCCTGATGGCAGCCTGCAGCTCCCTCATGAGGGGAGCGGAGTGGCAGGCGCTGAGCTCTGCTCTCTGGGGACAGCGACAGGACCCGAGGGAACAGCATGGAGCTGGGACAGGGCAGGGTCAGGATGGGGGTTAGGGAAAGGGTCTGCACCCAGAGGGTGCTTGGGCACTGGGACAGGCTCCCCAGGGCAGTGGTCACAGCACTGAGGTGCCAGAGTGCAAGAAGCGTTGGGACAGTGCTGTCAGACATAGGGCCTGGTTTTTGGGTGGTGCTGTATGGAGCCAGGCGTTGGGACTCTGTGGTCCTTGTTGGTCCCTTCCAACTCAGAATACTCTAACTCTTTTAACAGCCAGCCTGACTGAGAAAAAGTAAATTACTGCTTTAGATCCTCGTTTCTTATACATACTTACATGTGTAAGAGTATTAACATCAGTAAATGCAGGCAATTAGTAGGTGATAGCATAGATAGGAGCTAGCTCAACAAGAATTTTGTTTTAGTATAAAAGGATTTACAATTAAAGACTCAGAGAGCAAACATTTCATGCTGTGCATTATTTAAGTTAAATAACACAATGTTTTACATTTGCACAGTTCTACAAAAATCATACCCTATCAGTGCATAATGAATACTCTCCAAGGGATTATGCGTGCTTCACTGTTTTCCCTAAAAGAAATCACATCCGTGAAAACTCTGCTAGGTTGTGTGTTGAAAGCACTGAACTATTCTGAAGACAGTTGCCCAAAGCTTTGCTGAGGGGCAAGAAATAACTAGAAAAAGGTACTTCTTTTTTCTTAAGCACCACAAGAAAGTTGCACATACCTAAGGAAAAAGAAATCTGATGTGCTAGATCCCATCTCCATGCAGTAGAACAAAAGCACCATGAAAAATACTCTCCCAAATGGCTGGAAGATTAGCATCCACTCAATTTAGCAGCAGGATACAACTAAATGAATCCAGCAGAGATGTGTTTGCTTCTCCTTTTACTGATGGCACATCTTTACACTGCCATGCAGAGATACTTCAATCATGAATTCATAAACAGCCATACTTTCTGTGCCAGCAAAATGTTAGACATTCAGGGATGAACTCCATGCAGACCACTGTCAGATCTGACACGGTCCCTGACAGCGCGTTCAAGCACAGCACAGAGGTGCTGAAACCTGATGAAGGTCAGGGAAAGACCTGAAATAAAGCTAACCTTGTAACAATTCAGTTAAGCGTCATTGGCAGGAGATGAGGGCACTTTACAGAGACAACTTTTGCCCTACAGTTTGTTGTTGGTTGTTAAGACCTGAAACTTCCATCTCTCCAATGCTTAGAAGCTTTGTGTCTGTTTATTTAACGCCCTTTCAAAGGACTGGTGAGTACTGCTGCTCAGACCGAGCTGGTGAGTGGCACACTTTGAGATGGCATTAAGCCAAAGTCCCAGTCTGCAATAACAAGGATGCTAGCAGTGGAGCTTTACAGCTCAGGTAACTAATCTTTCTAGTCTGGCACTCTAATGTGGCCACTTGGATTCCCTTCCTCACCTGTAAACATTCACCATAATGTGACAGGAGTTTTTAACAGAAAGCTGAGCACCAAATAAAACTTGTCTTCAAAAGATATATTTTGAATCTCAGTACTCACTGCTGTTAAACCTTTTCCAAGAAAAACAGAAGGCACCATATTTTATAAGCTATTTTCTACTGAATATACAAACACAATCATATTAAATATGTTCACTCAGCATGCATTCAGTAAGTTTGCAGAAAAACAATTAACAGACTGTTGTGGTTTAACCCGGCCGGCAGCTAAGCACCACACAGCCGTTCGCTCACCCTCCCTCCTCCCTCTCTGGGATGGGGGAGAGAAACGGGAGAGTGAAGCCTGTGAGTTGAGATAAAGACAGTTTATTAAGACAGAAAAATAATAACAATAAGAATAATAACAACAATAATAATAATAACAACAATGATGATAATAGTACTACTACTACTAATGCGTACGAAACAAGTGATACACAGTGCAATTGCTCACCACCCGCTGACTGATGCCCAGCCTAACCCCAAGCAGTCTGCCGCCCCCCGGCTAGCCACCCCTATATATTGTTTAGCATGACCCCATATGTTATGGAATACCCCTTTGGCTAGTTTGGGTCAGCTGTCCTGGGTCTGTCCCCTTCCAGGTCCTGCTGCACCCCCAGCCTGCCCGTTGGCAGGACAGAGTGAGAAGCTGAAACGTCCTTGGCTTGGTATAAGCACTGCTCTGGTACAATTAAAACAGCATGTTATCAGCACTCTTCTCATCCTGAGCCAAAACATAGCACCCTACCAGCTCCTAGGAGGAAAATCAACTCTGTCCTAACTGAAACCAGGACATACACAAAACAAGAGATGAAGCGACCAAAACATTCACCAAACAACTCATTATCTTGACTCTTTGTGTAACAAAGCTTGAGTCTTTTCTCTCTCTCTTAAAATGTCACAGAAGGCTGTGCAAAACTAGGGACATGTTACTGGCTTTCTCATATACTTTCACATACAAGACAGAAAAGAGTATGGTCTGAATTTGACAGAAATACCACAGCAAATCAGCCCTCTGAAATAATTTTATGCATCTTGCTTCCTGAGGGTATTTGCTGTCTATTTAACCCTGTTCTTCATTCAAAAACTAGCAGAAATGAATGAAGAAATAAAGAATTTTGAGACACCCCCTCACTGCTGAAACAGACGTCAATCTTGCAGGTTATACAATGCCCTTACTGCCCCCACTTAAGCAACCAGCTCAGTCAGGCATTTCTAAACAGTTACAAACAGCATTGCCAATACTTCAATGGAAGAAAGAAGCTTTCATTTTACTTACAAGGGACAAAAGAACAGTCTAAGCTTCAGCTTGTGGCTCAGCAGAGTACCTGATTTTCGGTGGAGATTCACTTTAGGTTTAGGCTCTTCAAAGACTTAAACTAATGGGAAAGCTCCAGCCACAGTCAAGGCTCTAAAAACATCCTTACTGTGTAGGCAATAAAGTGCTGGTACTTAATAGCAGGATGGCCACTCCTCTGCTTTGGACTGAATCACTAAACCTTTGCAGAAACTCATGCACCATTAGACTTCCAACACCTTGCAGCACTGTGTTTGAATCAACAACACGCGATGAGAGGTTTGTCATTCAATCATGGATCACATACTGTCAATTAAAACGTTGTAGTATTAGACGTATAAAGCAAAGCTATTGCTTCAGACTCATACAGCATTATCAAAAGAAACTCATCAGATAACCTTAACAACAAGCAATGAGCAAAATTTCATGATTTTTAAAGTATCAAGAATGTAACTTGGCTTGCCCCCGCCATCATTCTCACTTCCATGACAATTTTAATCTGCAGAGAATGAGAAATACTCCCAGTTCCATTATCTGGTCTTGAAAGGGATACTTCATGACTAAATGCTCCTTGAAATCTATGGTAGAGTAGCATCCTCCTTCCACATAAAATTAAACGTGACTATTCCTAATGCATTTGGCACTGTTTTGTGTTCAACTCTTCTCTCACACCACAGTAATGCCAGAACTTCTGATCTATACTAGTGTCAAAGGCCGTAGAAAATGGCTTCTGATCCCCTATGACAGATTCTAACTATACATATAGAGACCATGTTCTGGATGCACTTCTGAACCATACATTTTTGGCTGTCCTGGTATAGGCACTGCAAGTAGATAACTCCTTCTAACACTTCAGTTTCTCCTCTTCCCTCTCGCAGTAGTGCATTTGTGAAGAGGTATGATAGTCACCTGCAGCTTTTCTGAGGGCCAAGGCATGAATGATGTAGTTTGGTGAATTCCTTTGTTGGCAAAGCCATGCCTAAGAATGGTTGCCCCAGATTTGGAGATGGTGTCAGAATAAAGAATTAAGCCCATAAAATCTTCACGTGTGGTATCAGCACCACAGTAACCACTGTTGTCCGCAGCTTTATGTAGAAACATGCACATATGGCAATTTAGGCCACGCTCAGGGCAGCTCAGCATAAACAGCAGGTATAGTAAGTCAGCACACGGAAATAATAAACCAGTCCTACCTACACAAATACCACACACACTGAAAAAAAAGTAAAGCTTGATCACTGTCCTGTCTGAGTCACTAATGAGTTAAAAACCTACTACATCATTTCTTCATATACTTTCTATTAAATCATAGGTAATAACAACATTAAGTGACACACTGTGTACAAACACACGTCTTTCATCACAGCACTCTAGTGAGCACTACACAAGTCTTAGAGGGCTGCTGGGAATGTAGCTGGTACAATTCACGTTTTATGATCTCTCCAGCAGCAGTGACACAGTAAGCTGTCTATCCAGCAAACAGTCTGAGAATCAACTTTTCATCCACTTATTTTTACATTTTTTCTTTCCAAAACGTAAGCCTTCATTCTGGGCACTTGCACTGCCTGGTTCAAAGACAGCTGAAGCCTGTAGAAAAGCACATATTAAATCAAAATCCCATTGAGCACAAACATTTTGTAGACTTCTCATGTTTGACTTCATATTTCACTACGCATTTTACTACAGCTACATTAGACATCACGGGCAACAAATATTTTAAATGTAGGCGCATATATATACCAATGCTCCTTTTTGAGTGTACACTTTCTCTACATCCAGGCTCCTGTTTGAGAGCCAGTATTATAATAGATAATGAACAGGTTCTCTAACACACTTAAGTATGAAGAATTGAGTGAGCAAAGGCCTGTCTTGAAGTCTGAAAACACCTTTCCTATTTACACATCAAAAAGCATCCAAGTGAGTAGAAACAGTAATATCCCCCGTATCTTATTTACATACTTAAATTTGTGCAATTCAGATAAGTTTTATCTGTAATCACAAGGAAAAAATGTAGCACAACCATGCTGTGCAACTTCATGATGAAAACTTCATGCAATGAAAAGAGTTTCCTCATGAACAAAAAGAAACACACACACACACAAAACACCTTACCAACCTGTAACAGATTTGCGTTAGAGTCAAAAAAGAAAGAAAAAAGGATCAAGGCAAATTTAGGTTACTGCAAAAATGATTCTTAAAAAGCACATACATGGGAACCAGATTCTGAAGGTTATTGTAACCTTTTTCTACATATTATCCTATTCTCAAGAGTCTTGCAAACTCCATAAAGAGTGGGCTCCCAAAGTATTGTAAGTCTCAGAAGTACACAGAAAAGCATAAACAATGACTTTGTTTCCCAGGTGCTCACTTGCATAGCTTCTCCATGGTTTCTACAGGAAAAGCTTTCAGGAAGAGCCAACATTATTAAAGAAAAAAATGTCCTGCTGCAGCTTTTATCCATGGTTTGTGTTATTTACCTGGAGCATTTTAATTAATACACAAAATAACAACAGAAAATGGTAGCATCCAGTGAAAGAAGTTAACTGATGCTTGAGGACAATAATTTGCTTATGATAACAGAGGTTCCAGCAGCTTTAGAAGAAGTTGCAGTTTGGCTTAATGTCCTTCTCACAAAAGGATTCCTGTGATTTCTTCACTTCTCTCTAAAGGTACCAGGATTACCTTGCATTAATCCTTGTATGATAACTGTAAGAACAACACTGCGGCTTCAGGGTTCTCGGGTGGAAAGTGCAGACTGCGAAGTCAAAGAAATCAAAGGGCTGGAACACCTCTGCTATGAAGACAGGCTGAGGGAGTCGGGGTTGTGTAGTCTAGAGAACAGAAGAGAGATGTCATTGCAGCCTTCCAGTACCAGAAGGGGGCCTACAGGAAAGATGGGGAGAGACTTTTTACAAGGGCAAGTAGTGATAAGACAAGGAGTGATGGCTTTATACTGAAGAGGGGAGAATTAGATTAGATGTAAGGAAGAAATTCCTTACTGTGGGGGTGGTGAGGCGCTGGCTCTGGTTGCCCAGATAAGCAAGCTGTGGATGCCCCATCCCTGGAGGTGTTTAAGACCAGGCTGGATGGGGCCTTGAGCAAACTGGTCTGGTGGGAGGTGTCCCTGCCCATGGCAGGGGGGTTGAACAAAATGATCTTTAAGGTCTCTTCCAGCCCAAACTGCTCTGTGAAAAATCTTCTGTGAAAAGTCTTCCTAAAGTCAGAAAAATTTCCCAGATATAGCAACATCCATTTGACATGCAATAGCTAGCATTTGTGCATGGAGAGACAAAAGGAGCAAGTGCTTTCCTGGTACTACTAAAAACCACAACTGTAAAAGATCACAGAAAACAATACAAAGAGTATTTTAATAACTGAGGTGTCTAGGTTCAATGAAATGAATATAAATGAGTTTTGACCTGATTCTTACCTTGTTTAGAGCAGTAACTTCTTTCCTGTCCCTCCTCTACCTCATTTCTAAGCTATATTATCAGAAAGGGAAAGCAGAATACAATGGATACCTGTCTATAAATTCTGTGTCCTTCAAAAATGCACATACTCCTGTAACATTTGACAAACAGGAATTTCATTGGATCATCTTCTGCCTGAAAATCTAACCTAAACTAGTATTGTGGCAACATTTGATAATGGGAACAGAATCATGCTTTATTCCTCCAAGAAACTATAGCTATTTTCACAGGGATTAAATTTAAAAACAATACAGAACAGGGTCAGTCCCTCTGTTGTGGCTGAGTAGCAATGGCTCACACAGGGGTGAGCAGACATACATCTTAGGTGCAAATTTCATTACACAAATGAAGTAGGCTTTTCACTATGAGGAAATATTTTTCTGTTTTAACAGGGCACTCACTCCTCAACCAGTATCAGTCTTTAACGAGTATAAAAGGACTTACATCCCATCTGAAGATCTAAAGAGGTACAATTTAAGGTGAATTGGAGAAGTTCTCTCTCAGAATTACAGTACAGAAACTGCAAAATGTTCATGGTTTAGATTACACTGAAGATTACCCTGTTCCTGTCATTCAGGAACTCAAGGTCTTGAGCTTCTACAGACTGATATTCATGCATGGGTATTACTGTAATTTCTTTCTGAAAAGTTCTGTCCTACCTCAACACTCTCTCTCACATTACTCCTTACCATGCCTTCCGTGATACCTGGCCCTGATGCTTACATTCCCTTGCAGGACCTACATGAGACCGAGAACTAAACCACGCTCATTGAAGAGACCACTGATTTTTCATCCCAGTCAATTTATTTGATCCTCTGTTTGGCTATATAGCACAGAGAAGAGGACAGCACGAAGCAAGGTCTATGGAGGGCAGAGGCTGGGACAGATGGGACAAGAGGGAACGCCTTTTTAGCCACAGCCACTTCAGCAAATCACAGCGTTTACCACTGCCATCTCAGACCTCCCCAGCTCTTAAAGCAGGTAGGGAACTCCCTTTAGCTCAGGCAACTATTGAGGTTGAATTTTGACAGGCTGACAGATCACACAGGGAAGAATTCAGTTCTGACAGTCCCTTCCAATGCTGTTTTTTGGATACACATCCAGGTTCTTCCAGTTCTCTTCTTGGTTCACAGGCTTCAACTGGTCTGAGCTGTGGCTAGCGTGCTTACAAGCACTGCTACGAAACCACATGCTCTGTAAGTACACAAACAGCCTCTGCTTTCAGTTACCAAGTGCTTGTGACCTGCTACCTCCTTCCACCACTAAACGAAACAAAGCCTGTACACATGCAAGTGCGTGGTTTGACCAGCTGGTCCTATAACCACTGCTCTTGTAAACACTTACCCCACCAGTAGATTGCGTGGCTGGGCTGACTTACCGTGGTAGGAGCAGCAACAGAACCAGCTCACTAACCCTGCTTATGCCAAAACCTTTTGGTTTCTGTGGATGGAGTCCTTACCACAACAGGGTGCTGTTCTTACACCTCTGTAGCATGTTATTGCAGAATTTGCTGCGACAGGGAACTGTTATAATCTTTCATTCCTTTAGAAAAATTGACAGGACTGGTGAAAGATGTAAGAAAAATATAGCAGCGTTGAGAGAAGAGATACAAATTGAACTATTTGGTGATTCTTTATTATAATACATATCTGTCTCCTCCGGTTTGCTTAATTTCTGACTCCAACCAGTTTCAACTATGCTGCAGTCAGTAGGAGCTCTGACACTGACTAAATAGAGGTAAAATTTTACTTTTACTCTCTGAACGCTCTCCCTTGAGAGGAGAATAAGAACTCATTAAACTATGGTTTAACTTCATAAATCTTTGTCCTGTTCAGCTTAACTTGCTCCTTAATCTACATTCTGGCTTTTCAATGCACTGGCACAACCAAGTATACAGAGCTAAAATACGAGTTCCTGCTCACCCCTATGCTCTAAGGCCATCCACACAATTCCCAAACACAAAAGCCTAAAACCTGAGCTTTAATGTGAATCCACTGAAGTCTACTTAAAAAAATGTCCATGTCAGGTCACGTGAGTGATAGGGAACATTAAAACATGCACATGCAAAAATGTTCCAGCGGCCTGAGATCTGAACTCAGGGCCTCACTCTTCTCATTCATGTACAGGTTAAGCAGAGGTCCTTCTGTACATGGCAGGACAGCAGCTTATCTGCTAGCAGTCAGCAGTTTATCTCCTGTGACTTCAAGGTCCCTACTCTGCCTCCACTGGCCAAGCTCATTATTTTTGGTCCAAGACTTAGTTTCTGGAAACCACATATGTGTTCAAGAAAAAAAAGTCTAAATCATACATTCCATCTCACAGTGTCATTTCAATTGAAACCACTCATTTTCATGCAGAGAAACAGAGATACAAATGCAAAGTCATGTTACGTACACTACATCGGCCAACACAAATAACTAAGGCTCTGCTGACAAAACAGGGCTTCCTGTAACCATATATGCTGAAAAACAGATGCAATATCTGTTTGACATCCATTCAGTCTCTTTAGCCTTAGTCTGGCTTCTTCCAGCGAAGCTCAAGTTGACGGGCTCAGGGTGGACAGGGGAGAGGCAGGTTGGTGACAGGGAGCCTCAGCAGCAGCCCCAAGCAGCTCAGGATTTCAGAGATGTCTTCCACAGCACACATCTGCCAGCAGCATCAGCCAGCGTGCTGAACACTTTGTTAAAGACACTGATAACTCTCAAGACAGCATAGCGATCTTGCATGAAAAACAATTACCCTTAACTCCATGACGCTGAGCCAAAATTTGCCCAAAACCACGTGGGAAATAGTGACTGAGGTGAAGCCTGACCCCATGCAGCCCCTCAGCTGGATCTCCACGAACCCAAAACTGGGTGTACCTGCTGTGGGCACTAAGAACTGCAGTAAGAAGACAGCAAAAGTAGCTTCACTATTAACCACGGGGAGGGGGGAGTTATTTGTCTTTATATAGCAGCGTGAGGCCACGCAAAACACACAGTCCTTCACAGACAGAGAAATATAAAAATGATACCTTAATTGCACATATTTAAATTATTTATGCTGTAAGTCTAAAATCGTGTCCTGAAGCGCACATTCAGCAGCCGTAGGGACCAATCCACTGACTTTAATGCACAGCTCTGCATAACTATCAGAAGAGCTAAGTAAGAAAGATCAGAAATCTTTGTTACCTGTGGCTTGGATCAAAGCACCTGATGTATGGTGGGGTAGTGAGAGTGGCAGCAACTACAGTTAATTATGGACATTTTCAAACTCAGACCAAAGAGACTTAGCGTCGAGGTACTCCTACTAGTGTCTTTTGAAGAATACAAAAGATTTCACAGATCTAAGAGAGATGATTTTGCAAGCCAAGGGTCTGGTGGTCCGGTACTTTGCAACATGGCAAGTCCTGCTGTGCTACAAAAGCATGTAATCACAAAGCACAGCCTTTGCAGTTGGTAGTAGGGTCACGGATGTCTGGTTGTGTGATCCCTGCTTTCAAAATTCAGAAAAATGCATCATCCAGTGTTGATTTGTATCTTGGTCTTAACTTGCAGGACTAAACTGACTTGAAGGCTGAAGAAATTTTTTCCTGCAGAGGACTGTTCTGATCACCACCCTGCAATTTTACCGTGTTCAACCGTATCATTTGGTCAAAATGACCTACTATTATGCACAGAGGGTAAAACACAGAATCAGCTAAATATACGCATCCCCATAAACCAAAGTAGGAACAGAATACCTGGGACGAGGTAGTCATCCACACTCCAGTGCCCGAAGTCTGTAATTTGCAGGATTCACTTGTTTAAAAACAAAAACAGTGCTTTCTTTGCCATCCGGGAGACCAGAGAGATAATGCGAGTGAATAAATGAAGTCAGAGACACAATCTATCGAACACTTACTATTGGAAAGAAACCTGAGTATAATAACTACCTCCTCTGAGGACAGCCTTAGTCCTCTCCAATTCACGATGATACAGCTGTTGCTGTAACAAGGATTGCTCATTGCAACAGAGAAAACATGAGCTGAAAACGTCCTTCAGTGCAGTTTAGCAGAGCCTAAGTAGCCCGGACCATACTAACTGCATAGATCTGCAAGAACCACCAGACAAGAGGATAAAGCACCAACTCCAGAGCAGCCACGCACCAGCAGTAAGTTGTAGCAGACACCTAAGGAACTGCCCTCTTCCCCCTACACTCCCAAGAAGCTTCTAGTTTATGGTTTTCTCTCCAACAAACTAAACTACTGAAGATTTCAAAGCCTTTTCTCTGCCACTACATACTGCTTAATCCATATTGTGCTCCAGAAGCCACTCAACACAGCAAACAAAACTTATACTCACCAGCTGATCTGGAAGGAGAGTTTCAGTGGTTTCCTAATTAGCCCCCATGGTAAGCAGTTTATATGCAGAAGCACAGCATTTAATTATTCTTTACAGTCTGGTTTTGTGGTCAGATCAACCATCATCCGGCACTAGCTCTCAGACTGGTTTTCATGTTTCCCTAAACAGTTTTGTACTCTGTAGTACGCTGCTTCCAGCCACGTACAAACAGCTTTACTGTGAGACCCACAGGACCAGTCTCTTGGCAGGTACAAAAAGAGGAAAACTTCCTTCCCTGCAAAACAAGCATCTGGCTTCTCGAACCGAGGTGCCCACAGCTGTTGCCAGCAAGTACTCAATGCTACAGAAAGAAGGGGAACAAAAATCATTACTTACACAACATGGAAAAATGACCAGCGAGGGAGGGTTAGGATGGGTCCTTTCTCGACTACGATAACAAGCAGTTTACTCTGAAGTAGAATAATTGATTACTCGTTGGGGTCTGTGTGGCCGCAGCAGACAGCTAACAGCGAAAGCACAGCTGACGGTCACCGAAGGGCAGCAGCTGAAGGACTCCAGTCTGAGCTACAGCCTTTCTCTGCCTGGCACGGCTCAGTTCACCTCTAAGTAAGAACTGATTGCTGATTTAATTAAAAATTGGTCTGTAAAGCTTGCACAGTTTTAAAGTGGGAGTTGTCAAGGTGGCTGAGCTTCCTCCTACAGAACTAGTTTGTGCAGCGTGTTTCGCACACCATAATTTCAGTACCTCCCACACAAAATCTGACCAGGAAAAAAGAAAACATCATAGCTTCCCATTTCTACTCGTAGACTTGTATGTAGTATATACGGTGATTCAGAAGCAAGGTCTCCATCTGTCTTGCGACCCAGTCACAGCAACTCCATTACAGACACTTATTTGCTGATATAACTCCAAAATTTTAGTAGGGAGGTTCTGTGGTCAGTTTCATAATGAACCCACAAACCTTTCAGGTGGTTTTCTGTCATACCTCATGCCGTGACCTCAAATCTCATAAAGCAGGGCTCTCTGCCAGACAGGAGGGTTCAGAGAGAACTGCTACACGGTATTTTAAGTCCTTGCACTTTTCCCTAAAGGATGGTGGATGCTGGGGACCCTATATCACAGGAGAGGTTGTACTGTCAAGTACACATCCAAACTGATGGATAGTTACAGTGGTTGTATCAGTGGAGGAATTCACATCACCTCTAATCAATCAGTGAAAACATATAGACACAACCTGCACACCTGAACAGTCTTATTCTCTCAAAATAAGATTTCATAAGACTCACACACTCATATAACCCTTAAGATGTCAGAGGCTGGTGCAAAGTAATTATACTAAAAAACTCAGAAGACCTCTGAGGAGAGAAAACAGGCTCTGTGAGTTTAGAGCAGGAAAGCCACCAAAATACATGGTATAAAGCCATACACTCGATATCTGACAGACGCTCTGACACTGGGTCTTCTGTCTTCATTAACAACTCCCTCACAATTTGGGAATCTGAATATGGCACTTGATTATCCACTGATATTGTGCAGCTGAAAAAAAATAAATTTAAAATACTCCCTGCCAACATCCCAGGAAGGCTGCAAGATATATTTTCTGCAGATAATTTGGAGAACCATACATAAAACTTAGGATGTAAATTCAGGTTAATTGCATCTAACTGAAGAACATCTACTAGAGAACATCCTCCTAAAAAGATCATTCATGGCTTGATCTTAAAAGGTAACTAGCAACTGAGGTTTCTACACTACCCAAGCCCACTCCTCACTTTAGTAAAGTCTTCTAGGTGGGAAGCACTTGAATCAGAAACATGCTGTTTATCTAGACCATGGCTTAGTTAACAGGACCTGCCTCTCACCACAATATGAACAAGAGTTACCTGTTACACTGCTGAATGTGTCCATGCCCAAGTTCTGCACCTCTTTTCCTCTCCCTCTTACTTCCTGTCAGACCCATACATCCTGCAACATACAGAAAATGGTTCCTTTTCTTTTTTTTTTTCCATTATGGAGATTTTTTCACAATGGAGATTTTTTTTCTCCACTATAATAGTTAGCAATTCTGCTACATGCCTTTATTATATTTAACATTTTAATTTATTGGTTAGAATTTTGCAGAGTCTTTAGCATTTCTGAGAATGCTGCTAATGTTCACATGCAGGTTAGCACCAGTAATTTATTTCTAAACCGGCAGCAAGCCAGGACAAGCTTAGTCCAACTGCCCTTTAGGATGCCGTCGTCATTCTGGTTGCTACATAAATTAGCAGTTAGGAAACAGGATTGCTACCTTGCAATTGCTATTCTTTATCCCATTTCAATCACATCTTCTGCCATCCACACATCCCATATATTATGGTTTTGATCCAATCCCAAATCATTTGATTAAACCCAGCTGTAGCGCACGCAGTATCTGCCATCAGGTAGGAAGAAGCCATCATCATTTTTGAGGCAGCAATCACCGCAGATCCCAAGAGCAATCACAAATAACAACACATCTACTCTCTGAGAAGTATGCCACCCAGGTGATTAACAGAGAAGACTGAATCCCTGTCCTACCACAGCTGGGACAGAAGCCCAAGTTTCCTTGTGCTTTTTTTCTTCTTCTTCTCCCCTTCTCCCAAGTGTTTCCTGCATTCATGCTCAGTACTGCACCATGCACTGGCTCGAATGCCAGCTAAACAGCAATTTAGAAGGCTGACAGGAGGCACTAAAGCAAATGCTGCTGGCTACACCCTGTTTTATCTCTGAGTTTCTAGCCCAGGGTTCAACTAAAGAAAATAACTAGGCAAATGTACAAAAAAAGTGTAAACCACCCCCAATTGCTGCTCTTGGTATCACCATGTTCAGGCAAGTTCAATTATTAAATTACTGTACGTGTGTGGGTGTACGTACAATTAGGGAAGTATTCTTCTTGCACGCTTCCTGTTTTAAGAACAGGACAACCTATCACAAATTATACAGCCTGTGAGACCAGAACCTATCACCCAATCTTTCTCTGTTTGCTCTAAAATAAAGCAAGATTAGCTCCATTTATGTCAGAGCCAGACTGATGCGGCACTCCCAAGAATTCAGGACAAAAACCACCACTCTGAGATTTGTTCTTTAACATACCCACTGAAGGTAACGTGAAAAATGCAATGTGAATAATACATAAATTTAGTGAACATGATCACTATAAAGGAACATGATAAATATAAGGAGAAAAAACTTCAAGTACCAACTATATCAGTTACAATTAAATGGGAATATTTACTATGGCTGGGAAAACAGGATTGTCCCAACTCTGGAAAGCATCACCACTCTTCAGTTTGTTTCAGCTCCAACTATTTGTTTTTTTAGAACAAATACAAACAACAGTATTGTACTTTCCACTACTTACTGAAAGAAAGAAAACTAGTGAAAACAAGAGGCAACACTGAAATGTTTTGAAAGTTAAAAGAGAAGCTAACTTGCAATACAAATATACATTCAAATTCAGGTACCTTTTTGACCTGGATTGCACACAGGAGTTAAAACCAAGCTTACAGCAGTACAACGATCACGCTGGTAAATTTCAACACAAGATGATGGGTAACTCAGATGTCCATCCAGACCTCTCTAAAGGTCTAAGAAATACCCTGTTATAAATGTATTGATAAACTTTGAGAATGCAATAAACATGCATGAGTGCTTCTCAGATTGTGAAGACCCCTAGCAAACTGTGATATGAAAAGTCCAATATAATTTAATGAAGCAAGTTACATCTACAGAGAGACACAGTTGTAATACACAGCTGCACTGGGCTACAGAGTTGTAACAGGTTCCCTCTATATTCTGCAGATTTTCATTAAAGCTTCCACACTTGACGTAACCTCAAGTTTTTCACAAGAGATGCCACCACAGAGGCACAATACCTGCCCAACACACTTTAAGCCAAATGAAATAATAACCCTCAGGACTCCTCCAGAATAGGCGTCACCCATGGTAGGCCGGACACACAGAAATCTTGCTTGTTGACAGCACTCTTTGGATATCCTGATTCACATCCGTGTGGCAGAGATCCTGCATCCAGAGTGTGAAACAGCATAACTCCATACCTATCAGCTCCTTGCACAAAAGAGATTTCAGCATACGGTTGCTAGAAGATATGGGGTAACACTTGCTTCTTGCATCACTGTTGTTGGGACTGTAGGATTAGTGGTTTATTACCATTTATTCCAGTATCAGGCAGATGTTAAGGAACAGCTCCACTGAAAAAAAATATGCAGGAAACATTACATCAAGAACTACACTTCTTGTGTCTTCAGACTTGGTCATGTTTCTGTTTCTGGAGCACCACCAGGCAGACAGGTCCATGTGGGTACCCAAGGAGCAGCAAGCAGCCCCAGATGAAAGAGGTCCTGGGGACTCAACGGCTCAGCCAAGAGTTGTGTCTGCGTGCACGGGTACTGGGACGGCTGAGAAGAGGGGATCTCTGTGGGGAACACTACATCTCAATTCATTCTTTCAGGCCTCAGCATCTCCAAAAACTGAAACAACCCCTGCTGTTACCCTGCTCTCTGATTTGAGCTGAAACACTGGCACACACATAGATGATCTTCAGGAATAAACCTGCAGTAAAAACACATTTTCACTTAAGCTATACTTGTTCTAAGCAGAGCATAAGAACTGAGGTGTGCCTTGCCGAGCCAGGTGTAATAAGGAGCTCAGAATAGCACAAAACTGTGCTAGAAATGCATAAATTTACCCCATAATCAAATTAACACATTTCCTAAAGTAAAGCAGCAACCTTTTTTTGTAGGAAACACGTTTCCATTTAAGTTCTGTGATACAGATTTAAAATCCAGTCTCTATGCCAGTTTTTGCAGATTATCAGTCGTACCCTGCTATCATAGCCATATGCATTCACTTGTGTTTACAGACCAGAAACAAACACCTGCCAACATTGCAATTCACTACTTTAAATCTTGTGAACCCGAGTCTTAAAAATGCTTGAAAAACAGCTTTTACATCAGGTAAAATATATGGGACCATCGTATACTCCTTCCTTTAGTTTAACTAATAAAACAAGACTAACCTGTCTAAAGAGACACTTAGCCTCTATCATTAAGAACAGCATAAATTGTGTTGAATTTAATACTAATGCCTCACAGTATTACAGCAGCAATATGAATGGTGATCAGGACATAATTAAACCCTGGAATTTACAAGCGGCGGGATGACATGAACAACACGATAATATACTATCTATCAGCTTAATTTACCGCATTGCTGAGCACAAGCCTATATTAAGGGCAACTAATGGCCTTGCCTTAGAAATCTAATAATTACAAATAATAACTCACCAATTCCACCCTTCTGGACTGAACATCAGATTATATGGCATAATAAACAATCACAGATTAAATAAGCGCATGAAAAAAAAAATCCTGATGAGCTATTCGAGCAACTCCCAGCTACCTATCAGAGCTGACAGGGTTGTAGGGAGTGAACCACCTATGCCCCTCAATTGACATTGCCTAAACCAGACTAAACTCTGACAGGGCTTAGGACTGAGTAAGTTTGGACAGTATGACTTAGTGGGACAACACAGGTCCTCCAGGGCAGACAAGCACATCCTGATCAGCTATGCCTTGCTCAGCACCGATGCCTCCTTGCTGCATGTCCTGGTCGGCACCAGGACATGTGGTGCAGCTGCACCACACTCATCAGAGTGCTTGGGCTGGGGAGCTCTTCTGGCCCTCCTGCGTGCTTGGTCCAGCTCATCAATGCCCTGTCCAAGAACATCGGTGACACTAGCATGGATACGTGGACTAGTCTGGTAGGGGAAAGCTGCCACCGCTGTGACTGACAACATGGCAGAAGTTTCAGCTTTCAGATCATGTGTGGGTCACTGCCATAGCCAAGTGCATAAAGCCAGCGAATTCATTGCTCCTGGTAGGAGTGTAAGGCAGCGGTAAGATGTAATGGAATTCGGGATGGAATTCAGATGTCCAAATGGAGGTATTTCTGGTGTAGACTTCAGCAAGTTGGTTCTTGCCTAGACTTCCATCATAGCTAACGGAGTAAAACTCATTTCTACAACATGACTCACCTCATTCTAGACATCCAAATTCCATCAGATACATCAAACTTAAAAGTGATCACTGGCCTCCCCTGACAATAAAAGTACCCTAAGGCAATCAGCTCAGATGTGCAAGTCTTTAAGCTGGCAGCTGCAGATCTCTTTTATAACATCCTTTCTTGCCCACTCTAGTACATAAATTATGGGCATGCTGTTTTTTGCTTGAGTTAAGAAAGATGGGCAAAGATGCATACATATAAGACAAGGTTACATTAATATATCTAACATTGTGTGACTCTTTGATGCAGAGCATTTTTACCAAAATAAATAAATAAATAAATAAAATTATGTAAATACTGTATTAGGTCTTTATAAAAATGAATGTGTAATTTTTCTTTACTGATTTTTAATACAAGTCGTATAGAAGTGCTTCCCAAAACTGACGATACTGCTACAACAGACCACAAGACAAAAGACTGGATATTGGGTTTACATGCCAAGGGCTTGGTAGGAGGGTTTATGCACGGGTGGCCTCTGTGAGCACAGCCCATGAGCTGGCCCATGTCGGAGCAGAGCCAGCTCCAGCTGCTCCAAAAGGGACCTGCTGCTGGCAAGAGCTGAGCCATGAGCGACACTGGGTGGGCCTCTGGGAGAGCAGGGTGGGAGAGCAGGGTTAAGAGAAGGGAAAGAAGCTGGGAGAGAGGGGTGAGAGCCAGCCCTGCAGCCCCCACGGGCAGTGCAGCAGGAGGGCAGGAGGTGCTGCAGGCACACAGCAGCAGTTCCCCTGCGGGCTGTGCAGGGAGAGGCCCCTGGTGGAGCAGGCTGTCCCCCTGCAGCCCATGGGTCCCACATGGAGCAGATCTCCACGCTGCAGCCCCCCCATGGGTGGAGGAGCCCCCGGTGGAGCAGGTGGATGTGG